GCACCGCACTGGTCTGTCCTTGAACTCTATCAGGGTACATCTCACTGCCATTTCAGCTCTCCATCCTCCATTACAGGGGTACTCTGCTTTTAGTCACCCATTGATCAAATGATTCCTATGGGGCCTACACAGTATGTTTCCACCACTAAAAGACCCCACTCCCGCATGGGACCTGAACCTCATACTCAGGCGAGCTCTTTGAGCCTCTCGCCACCTATTCCCTGTTATATCTATCCATGAAAGTGGCCTTCTTTGTCACAGTCACTTCTACATGAAGAATAGGAGAGCTGGGAGCTCTCACAGCAGACCCTTCATACACTGTATTCCATAAGGACTGTGACTGGGTGTACCAAACCTGCACTGGCCATTGAGGGGTTAACCAGGCTTGCTGGGCTGAGAAGGCCCCTCCCCTGCAGCCCTGCTGAGCATGCTCCAACTGCAGAGGCAGAATAAAGGCCACAAGAGCAGTTCAGTTGGGGCTGACCAGTGGAGGGAAAGGAGCTCCTGCTAGAGCATAGGAGCAACTGCCCCCACTGGACCAGCCGCAGCCTCCACACCAGCCGCAGTTGCTGCACCAGCCATAGCCACTGCATCAACCGTAGACAATGACGATGAGGATGCAGCAGCGTCCGCCAACACAGGTGGGGACTACGTCGGCCAGGGAATCAGGGTAGGAAGCAGTCCAGGGCAGGGAGCAGGAGGCCTCTTAGTGAACTTAGCGTGTTTCGGGGGAACTCCCTGCCAAGACAGTGGTGGGAACCACTTACCATTGATAGGACCTTGGGCTGGGGCCCGGTGGAAAGGAAGGGTCCAGGTCCCCGTATTCCCCCAGTCCTTGCCCTCCCAGAGAGGGGAGCCTTTACGGTGAACTATAGACTCAGCTGCTGGGCCATATTTATGCCAGACAGGGGGTGCAATAAACTTGGCCGCTGGGCCCCACTGCCCTTTACGTCGTTTCACTGCAATGAATCTATATACTTACCTGTCTTCTTCCCGAAACCCCTAAGGACCACAGGGAGATGGCACTTCATACCTTAGATGTCCATAGGGCACTCACTTTCTACTTACAATGCACAAAAGCCTTCCATAGAGTGCCACAGCTCTTTGTCTCATCTACAGAGAGATCACATATCAAAAGACTATCTAAATGGGTACCAGATTATAGACACTTAGCATATACCACATCTAGAAAGGAGCCGTTGCCCATCATACAGGCTCACTCTACAAGAGCTATGGCAGCATCAATGGCATTCCTACAGGGTGTGCCAACTGAACAAATCTGCAAGGCTGCCACATGGGCCTCGATAAACACATTCATGCAGCATTATGCCATTCAGACTTTTGTATATTGTGAAATCCATTTTGGCTGAATAATACTCTTGGTCACTGACTCATATGCTCCAAAGCTTCCATCGCCAAATGCGACTATTGCTTTGTAATCACCTAAAGTAGAGCACCCAGGAGGACACAAGGAGGAGAAGAAGGACACAAGGAGGAGGAGGAGGTGGAGGTGGTTACTCACGCTGTGCAGTAACTGGAGTTCTTCAAGATCGTTGTCCTTGTCGATGCTCCACCACCCATCCTTCCTCCCCTCTGCTTTGAACTCATCTACATCCAGATAAGAAAAGGAATTTAGGAGACAGTTGGTTCCATAGGCATAGTAGCCATTTCAAATGTCACGTGCTGGTGCCCTGCATGTGCAGCCAATCATGGGCACTGCTATCTAAAATCTTCAATTAGAGGCGCAGCAGTGCTCAGGCACCTAAGGTGGCGCACCCACGGGGACAACAATCTTGAAGAACTCCAGTTACTGCACAGGGTGAGTAACATTCCCTTTTAAAACTGTTATTTGAATCAGTACTGTGCAGATATAAAGGCTTTCCCGACTGTCTATCCAAACCCTCAAATGTCTGGATTCCAGTACCCACTCTCTGCATAATAGGCTTTTGGCATAATCTTCTATCTCCCAAACATCATGACAATTAATTAGCACCAAATAATAATTTATCCAATAAACAATATACATACATTTTACCACAACTTTCAAAGAGACATATAAACAATATTACTGCTTCAATCAAGTTTCATTATGAATGTCAACATTTCCTTCTGATCTTGAATCAAAGCTATAGTAACAGACAAGGATTTTTTTCACGTCATAAGACCTGAGCAGATACCTACCACTCTACTGTTCTAACAATACAAGTTTTCATTTCAAAGTTTTATTTTAGCCTAATGTAGCAGCCCACTTATTATTTATGCATTTTCACAACAACTTCTTTAAAGGTCGACCATGGCTCATTCAGCCTCGTAGCTGGTTAGCCTTTCTGGTCATCAGATGTCATAATATTTCAATTAGGTAATATTGCGGATGTTGCTAGGTAAGACTCATTCGTTCCCCTAAAGGGAGAATTTCAGAAGAGCATCTCTTCCTGAAATCCTCCATTTATTCAGTACCCAAAGTACACAACCTACGTCACACCAGAAATAACCGCTTACATGTAAAAAAAAAACCCATACAAAATAATGTACTACTTGCAGAAATAATAGTTGTGGCAGCTTTTATACACATACTGGCAAAAATTTTCTTTCCTGTAGGCAATACCAGTGATATTGTAGATGCTTTATATTTTTATACTGATAGTGTATCCTTTGGGGTGAGAAAATTATTTTCTTTATTTTGCTTTTTCAACTATTCAGGGCTTTCCCCCCAGATTTATAAGATGTTTTTAAAAAATACTTTTGAGAACAATTCTTCGCTGCAAGGTGCAATCTTTTTGTTGATTTGTGTCTATGTATCCGGCACAAGTATTTCTAGCTGTTTTATCTTCTGAGAACTATCCACAGTGTGCTTGGGTTTGGTTGTTGGGTCCTCACCCAGAATTTCATCCAGTTCTTTATAAAATGGGCATTTTTGGGGTGCACCACCAGAATGGCTGTTTGCCTCTGCCTTGTGGTAGGCCTGCTGGAGCTCTGTGATCTTGCTTCTGCATTGTAGGGTATCTTGCTGATATCCCCTGGCACACAGTGCTTGAGAAATGTGACTGTACATGTCCCAGGTCACCTATAGCTCCGATTGCACCAAATCTTCACCCCACACACCAATTAGATCCAAAAGCTCTACTTTACTACAACCAAGGGAGCATTTAGGTCTAGAGATGCCACCCCTGTTTCCTGAGAATGCCATGAAGACCACCACACAATGTGCCAGGGACTCAGGAAATGGATTTAAATTCCCTGGGGCTTGCAAGTGGGAGGAGAGCATTATGTGGCTGAAGGGCAGCCGAATTCAAGTTGATGTCCAGAGAGGCTAAACAGGGCACTGTGGGATACATGCTGGAGTCCAACCAACTTGACACAAACCTGTCTGATGCATACCTCATGATTGTTGACACCATTCTGACAAAAGTCTCGTGCAGAGGTGGAAGCTTTCTGTTGCGATAATATGCCGATTCTAGCGACATTTGTTGCGCTATAGCCTGGACAATCAGCAGTTTTTGTCATTCATAGGTACTTTTTCTCGACAGAAAGTGCAAGTGTAGACAAGGCCTTACTCATTAAAGAATAGATCTTTGTTAGCGAATTTGCAGTTGGTAGACTTTAATCAATTGTAATGAGCAGCATGAAGCCAAGGCAAGAGATGACAAAGGGAAGCTGCCCAGGAAAACGCACTAGGAGCTTGTATTTTCTCAGATCATACTGAGCTTCTTAAAACTAACTGTTTGAAAAATCATGCTACACTAAACCTCAGTCACCAGTTGCATTACTTGGTTTTATGTGCCTGAAACATTTCACTCTGATGACCTCTTAAGCTGCTTTCCTATTGTAGAGTACATTATTAATATAATAATAATATTTATATCTTATGTAGAAAAATACTGCTGTAGATGATCAACATTTGTTTGTGTGAGTCAGAGTTAAACAGTTATTGGAATGTATATGGTAAACTTTCTCGTCAATCTTATTATTTCTAACTCTGAATTTTAAGCTAATGGCAAAAATATGGAAATTATTCTTATTATCTATTTTCATGTTTTTAATGCTTACAGTTTTATAACTGTATTCTGGAGATAGTTACATTGTTCACAATAGTAATTTCTTTTGAATATCTTTTAGTATGATTTCTGTGAACTGAAATTAATTTTAACTTCATTATTCTAGGCTAGGCTTCAGTGATGTGAAAAATATGTCCTGGAAAAATATGACACTTGAAATCCTGTAGTACTGAAAATATGCATCTTAAATTCAAATTATTAAAAAATTTAGCGATAAGAAAAATTAAAACATGCTTTGAGATTAAATTTTAGACTGGTGTTCTATTGTTCACCAAACCACAAAGTCATAATATTGCCAAACATAAATTACTGATTGTGTAGTTAGGATATTCTTTGTGCATTTTGTGTACTTGAATAGCTAGTGACCTGTTATAGACCATAGTATGATTATAACCTACTTTTCGTTTTAACAAGCTACTTACCATGTATGTGTAAACATAATAAAAGGTTCAGACTGCCTGCTCTGTAGGGGCACTCTGCTTTACTATACTAGCCCTAAACAGCAACACTACTGTGGGTTTTTGGAAGCAGTGTAGATTTCACCACCTCATTGAAAAGCTATTTTTTATAGACAGTGTCAAAGCTTGATCCAGTAGTTTTTACAAATAGTCCTTTGTCTGCATGCAAAGGACCATTCACTTAAATGAAGTGCTGGGATTTGCTCTCATTGCTATAAATCAGAAAATGTGATCTGGCTGCATTATTGCCAGATATGATTACTTGAATTAAACTGAGCCGAAAGGCCTGGCTTAAATCTGGTCCACTGAGAGCCAGAAAAGAAGCGCAATGATTGATGGTCTGGGTTTTTTTCTTCATACTGGCTTCTGTTTAAACATATTGGAAAGTAATAACCTTGAACGCGATAGAGTCTCAGTTGTCACTGAGGCACTGGGTAAAACAATGCTTTTGCTAATGTTCTTTGTGTCAATTCAATCTCCCTCACAGCTGGCTGAGGAGCTGCAAAGCAAGCCATTGAACCCTGAGATCGGAGAGTTGTTGAAGCTCCTCTCAAAACCAAATATCAAGGTGAGGATGTTTTACACTTGCAAAACACACACATACCCATTTTCTAATGCTCCTGACATTTAGTCTGTTTCAGTCATTGTTTCAAATACTAGGAAGGAATGACTCAGTATTTATAGCAAAAATGTACTGCAAGAAAGGCAGTTAGCATTACCAGTACATTATAATGTTGTTACTGACCTTCACAAAAGTTTCTGTGGAGAGGTATTAGTTATTTACAAAAATTGTTCAAAAAAAATTAAGCAAGTAAATTTACACAATAAAATATTTCTTCAGATGTCTTTTAATAAAAGTGTAAAAATGTTGAAACCACTATTCTGATCTGTTCAGAATCATAGAATACTAGAACTGGAATAGACCTTAAAAGATCATCAAGTCCAGTCCCCTTCCCTCATGGTGGGACCAAGCACTGTCTAAATCAGGGGTTAGCAACCTTCTGAAATGGAGTACCAAGATTTAACCTTCCTTCCCTGGGCCATGCTGCTTTCTTGGGAGGGGGGAGGGACTTTCTCCACTGCACACCCTGTGGACCACCTGGGTCAATGCAAACCTTTTCGTGGGCCACCACAAGCTAATGGAAGCTCACTGTTAATTGCTTTATTATACCCAAGCCTTTTTGCTAGTGCTGCAGTTAGGGAGAATTAATTTAGTTAGTTTAATTTAAATTATTGAATAGATTAAGCATTTTAACTTTCTCATGTTGGTTTATCAAACTTTATTTAAAATGAATTTTGATAAACCAACACATTCATTTATGTCCAACACCGAAGGTTTCAATGTTTTCTTTATTTATGGCAGGGGTGGAGAACCTTTTTTGGTGCAGGGGCCACTGACCCGCAGAAAAATCAGTTGGTGACCACACAAGTCAGAAGCAAAAAACCTCCTCCGAAAAGCCCCAACCCTCACTGATGTGGCCCCCCAGCTGGGATATCTCACTCTTCTGGCACTCCAGGCGAGGGGAAGGGACAGGGAGGACTGAGGCCAGATTTATTTTTCTGAGGTTCCAGAGTTAGTGGATTTTGTGGACCCTCTTAGGCTCTGGGGTGGGAACAAAAATAAGGGGTTCAATGTGTGGGACAAGGCTGCCAGCGAGTGGGATAGGGATGCAAGATTTGGGCGGGAAATGGAGTGCAGGATGGTGTGAGGAGGCCAGCTTCTGGAAGGGAGTTTGGCAGCAGGAGAGGGTAGGGGGTGGGAGTATGAGAGGGAGTGTAGCCAAATAGCTAGTTGGAGAAGGAGACAAAGACATGGGGAGTAAAGGAAAGTGCAACTTCTGCAAAGTAAAATTTATCTTCCCCCTTACATCTTCCCTCTGCTCCAGCCTTGCTCCCCACAGACCCATGGCCACCCCCCAGCATGATCCCCTGCATCTCCCCATGTCCCTCAGTGCAACCTCTGCTCCCACCTATTCTGCCCTTACATCCTCCTTCACCCCCTCCCCCCATCCTACTCCCACATCCGTGCCCCCAGCATACTCACTGGCAGGGCAGCAGCGCTTGGTCTCACAGCCCCCTGGGAGCAGTGCTAGGGCAAGGAGGTGAAAGAGGGGAACTGAGTCGCTTCCCTGCCCAGCCCAGCCTTTTGCCAGGGCTTGCCACTCACCTGTAGGCTGCACCTTCGGGGCTAAGGTGAGCAGAACTTGAGGCTGCCCCAGCCTGGTTCCAGTCCAGCCTGGCACAGCAGCATGTGAGGGAAGGAGCTCCCCACCTCCACACACAGCTCATGGGGAGCAGCACGGCACAGCCCGGGCCCTGGTGCCCACATGTGACTGGCCGCCCAGGCCCGATCTGCAGAGCAACCCCAACTCAACTCCCTCCCATAGTAGGAGGTAGAACTGGTGGGTGTGTGTGGGTGTGTGTGTGGGTGTGTGTGTGTGTGAACCCCTTAGTTCCCAGGAGCCGCATGCCCAGGCTGGGCAAGGGTAGCCCCAGCTCTGAGGAGCTTAGTGCAGGGTGTTGCCAGGCACCCTTGGCCTGTACGCTATGCCACGCGTGCCTCTCCCACCCTGCTTCCCCTCTCATCACAAAGCCAGAGCTGGCCCTCCATCCTGCAGCTGCGTGGCAATCCTGAGGTTCGCAGGGCTGAGCTTCCACCCTGTGTGCCACAGAAAACCAGCTCGCATGCCGCAGATTTCCAACCGCTCATCTAAATCATCCGATAGATGTCTATCCAACCTGCTCTTAAATATCTCCAGAGATGGAGATTCCACAACCGCCCTCACAGTTAAGAAGGTTTTCCTAATATCCAAGCTAAACCTCCCGTGCTGCAGTTTAAGCCCATTGCTTCTTGCCCTATCCTCAGAGGCCAAGGGAAACTATTTTTCTCCCTCTTCCTTGTGACACCCTTTTAGATACTTGAAAACTGATATTCTCAGTCTTCTCTTTTCTAAACTAAACAAGCCCAGTTCTTTCAGTCTTCTCTTATAGGTCATGTTTTCTAGGCCTTTAATTATTTTTGATGCTCTTCTCTGGACCTTCTCCAATTTTTCCACATCTTTCTTGAAATGTGGTGCTCAGAACTGGACACACTAATCCAACCAAGGCCTAATCAGATTGCTTCTTTTGCACAAAAAAAACCCTGTTCCTCATCCACACATAGAAAGAGGAATACCTATTGCACAAAAAACTCTCTGCTCTTTCAATTTTTTTTGCATAAAAACGCACTTGAGGTGTGGATGCTCCGCGAATTTTTGCAGAAAAACACGTTTTTCCGCAAAAACTCTGTAGTATAGACATAGCCCTGTTAATGCATCCCAGAATCAAGTTTGCTTTTTTTGCAGCAGTGTCACACTGTTGACTCATATTTAGCTTGTAGTCCACTATGACCCCTAAATACCTTTCTGTGGTACTCCTTCCTAGACAATCACTTCTCATTCTGTATGTGTGATTGTTCCTTCCTAAGTGGAGTACTTTGCATTTATCCTCATTAAACTTCATCCTGTTTACCTCAGCCCATTTCTCTAGTTTGTCCAGATCATTTTGAATTATGACCCTATCCTCTAAAGCACTTGCAACGCCTCCCAGCTTGGTATCATCTGCAAACTTTATAATCGTACTCTCTATGCCATCGTCTAAATTGTTGATGGAGATACTGAACAGAACTGGTCCCACAACACACCCCTGTGGAACACCACTTGTTATGCCCTTCCAGAATGATTGTAAACTATTAATAATTACTGAGAATGGTTATCCAGCCGGTTATGCACCCGCCTTATAGTAGCCCTATCTCGGTTGTATTTCCCTAGTTTATTGATAAGAAGGTTATGTTAGACCGTGTCAAATGCTTTACTAAAGTTTAGGTATAGCACATCCAGCACTTCTCTCTTATCCACAAGGCTTGTATCCTATCAAATAAAGCTATCAGATTGGTTTGACATGATTTGTTCTTTACAAGTCCATGCTGGTTGTTACCTATCACCTTATTTTTTTTCAGATGCTTGCAGATAAATTCCTTAATTACTTGCTCCATTATCTTCCCTGGCACAGAAGTTAAACTGACTGGTCTGTAGTTTCCTGGGTTATTCTTATTTCCCTTTTTATAGATGGGCACTATATTTGCCCCTTTCAAGTCTTCTGGTGTCTTTCCCAATTGAAATTTTGCTTTTTAATTGACGACTGACACAATACATGAATTAAAATAAAAACTGTGAGTAATATCCATAAATAGTAGGATTTTATACCTCAGATGACACATTTAATTAATGTAGTTATCAAAAACCCTCCAAAATTCTTCCACTTATCGTACAAAACCTCAAGGATTCCATAAAATGCCCTGCAACAGGGATTTGTCACTTTTTAGCTGACAATAATACATGCATGCTATGATTAAGTTTAACCCATATTAGCTGCTTGCTTCTTGTTTGTTTTTTCACTAGGGATGGGATAAAATATAAGTTATAAAGGTTACACTTGTCACTAGAATATATGTTCCTGCGTCTGAGTTAATGACTGTTTAGATAATAACCATTTTGCTGGTGAAGGAACAGAAGTAGCTCCATCTAGTGGGGTTACTTCTTTATAGTCCCTCTGATGCTCAGTTTTACACCTTGGCAGTAGGTCAGTAGTCAAGGTATTGTAGTATCTACTAACTGCCATATGACTGAAGGTATAGAACAATGAGGCTTTCTAGTCTAAATGCCTCACTGTGCTCATATGATTTTTGTTGTCCCACAGCTATGTTGGAAGGTGATAGCCTATTTTTGTCCAAGGTGATATACAGTGCCTAAACTTTCTTAGCATGTTTCACTCAGCTTTCCATTCAAAAAAAAAAAAAAAAAAAAAAGCCAATTCCCCATCTCCTGCATTTTACTGTATATGTTCAGGTGGTAGTAGACCATGTATATTTTCAACATTGAGGCCTTAATGGAATGAGTCTAAAGGCTATTTTGTGGTCCCAATAGTAACTAACGTAACTAACTCATCACTTTTTATAAGAAGAAATGGTGATATAATCCATTCTGTCTGTGTGGTCATTTGTCCTGTTGCAGTGACTAGGTCAAGTCAAGTATGGAGGCTAACAGGTCTGCTAAAGCTTGGCAGCAAGTGTGAGGTGCAAACCTGTACATGTGATGTAGCTTCAAAAGGGGAAAAAAGAGCCATGTTCTAGCATGGGTTACAGTGGGTGTCTGCACAGATACATTTGGTCAGTTCTACACAAATTCTGCTGCTTCTCTTTGAGTTCTTGGTTGGGACTTCAGTGTACTCTACCCCAATACAGATAAATGTGGTACAATTCATTTAATTTTTATAAACCTGTTTACCTACTAGACAGTGACTCCAGATGTTTTCCAAAATACCATTGATGAAAACTCTTTCCTATTTAATTATCTGTACTTAAGCTGTTAGCTTCTTCATGCTGAGTGGTTACTAGATTTAAGTGGATTACTTATTTCCAAAGTTTATATTGTATGTGATGTAAGATTCTAGGCTTGTTAGATAATTATATACCCATGTAAAATCTGAGTTATTCTGAGCTTGGCATCTTTTGGGTATTTGGATAGAAAA